GGCAGACTTTTTAGCACGGCCTGTTGTGACAGGACAAGGGGGAATGGCTTTAAACTAAAGGGGGGTAGATTTAGACTAGATAGAAGGAAGAAATTTTTTACGCTGAGGGTGGTGACACACTGGCACAGGTTGCCCAGAGAGGTGGTGGATGCCCCATTGCTGGAAACATTCACGGTCAGGTTGGACGGGGCTCTGAGCAACCTGATCTAGTTGAAGATGTCCCTGCTTATTGCAGGGGGGTTGGACTAGATGACCTTTAGAGGTCCCTTCCAACCCAAACTATTCTATGATTCTATGATAAAAGCCATATGCCTAGACAAATAATTCTCCCAGGCAGAAAGCTGGAACTCTCAGCATTACCTGAGCAACTACCCAAGAAACTAAGGATTTGTGCATCTGTTCCATGGGGAGAACATGCACGCATGTACGTATTGCTTATAATGTGTTTTGGAGGAAGGGATGGTGTGTTATTCTCTTGATCTTCTCATCAAGTTCTTGATCTGCCATGTGTGCAATGCACAGTGGGAGTTGTGTGGTGATGGAGCTACTGTGGAGAATGGTCTGTGCTTTAAAAAGAATGGCCTTTTTAATTGTCATCAAGGATGCTTGAGGGCTCTGCCGTAAAAATGTGTATTTGTATATATAAAAGTTTAAAATGTTATTTTCCTGATATTTCCAGGAAATAGAGTATCCTCAATATTTATGGACTGTACACAGGTGGTTTTTTTAATTACTTCAAAGTTTTAAAAGTTTATTTGCTCAGACTTGCATAAATTAGTTTGAATATTGAAGTAGAAACTCTAGTAGCCCTCACATTCCTTCCAGGACAGAAGGCTCTTTTCTGTATTATTTATTTATTGAAATTTTTAAACAAATTTAGCTTAAATGAATGCCACTAATAGTTTTCCATTGGCCAGTTCCTTTCAGTGCATTCTGATCTCCAAAGCTGATGCTGAATACCAAATGTCAAAATCTCAAATAGCTTATTGTTACCGCTGAGCAAATTAATTCTTACTGCTTTCAAAGAGCAATGTAAAACCTGCTCCTTGTTCTTTTTTAAAACATGCTTATACTGTAACTACAGTGCAATTATACTCTCTCAAAAAAATTCGTACAGATACATTTTCTACCTGGTCAATCATAAAAACCCTAAAAATGCATCATCCCTGAAAGAAAAGAAAAACCTCACAACTTTTACTTGGAAGAACACACACAGTCCAACCCAGAGATGGAGAGATACATCAATTTAAGCTGCAAGGCCATTGAGAAGAGGCCATATTCCCTGAAAAGGAGCATCTGCTTTAAATTTCTCTAAAGTTTCAGTGTTTAGACATATATTTCTGAACACAAAACTATAAATCCTCTGTACTTGAGAATTCCCTGTGCTGACAGCATGTAGATGATGGTTACCTAAGGAGGACTGTTTGCAACCCCGGCCATTGAAAGTTGCAGGCATGACATTTTGTTCTTCTACCATTGCAGAGTCATGCACAGGGTGTTTAAATACCCTTTTGGAAATCTCCATAGATGCATATTGATCTCAGTTAAACGAACCTGGTCTCTTTTGGTTTGTGCAAGAAGGCTTGTAATTTAGCAGCAAGAAATCACCATCCTGCTCCAAAATCTAGCTGTCAGCTAGAAGCAGAAGGAAAGAGATGAACGTTTCCTGCCTGCACCGTCCACTTCCAGCCTTATCAACTCCAATGTGCTGTCCCAGTCCCTCAGTTTGTAGCCAGTGGACAGATTTTTCCACAGGACTTACAAACCATTCTCAGCACCAAAACAGCATGGCTACCACATATGACAATTATACCATGAAACAGCAGCTGGAGGGACCACACATACAGGGGAGCTTCAGAATGGGATCATCAAGCTGTGCTCCAGACCAGGTTTACCTCATCCCTGAATTTTTTTCTATGAGATTCAAGAGGTGCATGAGAGTTTGCCTATTCACACCCAACCCGGGTGGCTATTGGTGCGGTGCCATTCAGCGTGAGGTGAGGGGCAGGGCTGCACATCCAATAAAGGCAAAGAAATACTGGGAATTTTTTAAAAAAAAAGTTTGCACTCATCCAATTTTTAAAATCGTCCTCAGTAACTGGACCATGACACAGGCCCACTTTCATTCAACGCAAAATAATTTGCTAAAATGTGATACTATTTAACTGACATCTTTACACCAGCTTACTGTTAATAACTTCAGAAATAAAACTCCTAAGTTAAATTGCTCTGCATTGGTTGGCACCTGCAGCAAATTAAAAAGCTTAGACTTTCAAAGCACTCTTTGTGTTTGCATAGGAAATGCCACAGAACAAACTTTCCATATTAACCGGCAGAGAGCCCAG